CTTCTTCTTCTTCTTCTCTTCCTTTTTCGTCGCCTTATTCTTCACCTCCCCTTCTTCTTCTCACCCTGCTTCTTATTTTCTTCGTCGTCCTCCTCCTCTTTCTTCTTCTTCGCCTACACCTTCTTAATCTTCTCGTCCACTTCCTCCTCATCCTTCTTCTTCTTCTTCTTCACCTCCCCTTCTTCTTCTTCTTCTTCTTCTTCTTCGTACACATTCTTATTCTTCTGCTCCTCTTCCTCTTCCTTCTTCTTCTTCATTTTATTCTTCTCCTCCTCTTCTTTCTTCTTCTTCTCCCCTTCTTCTTCTTCTTCTTCTTCTTCTTCTTCGAGTACACCTTCTTATTCTTCTCCTCCTCTTCATCCTTCTCCTCCTTTTCTTCTTTATTTTATCCTTCTCCCCCTCATCCTTTTTCTTCTTCTTCTTCTTCTTCTTCTTCTTCTTCTTCTTCTTCTTCTCGTACACCTTCTCCTCCTCTTCCTGCCCCTCCCCCTCCTTCTTCATTTTATTCTTCTCCTCCTCTTCCTTTTTCTTCTTCTTTTTCTTCGCCTCCCCTTCTGCTTCTTTTTCTTGTTGTCAATTTCAAGTTTAACTCCAGATATAAAATGGTCTAGACTAGAATATATCTCGCTAAGGCCAGAATGATGTCCGCTTTTTATCCTTTATCCGATGTAATATGTATATTATTCCATCCACAGATACAATAAATAAGACCTGCACAAAATACGGCCCTCGAATCACATGTATCCCGCAGGACGACGCGGTACTCAAAAGCCATTTTTTTTGTGTTCATCAGAATAAAATTTGGCGACTCATCGCATAAAAATTATTTCAGTTTTGTTAAGTGGCCTGTCTTTAAATCAAAAAACATCTCACTTTCTATATATCTTATTAAACATTTTGTATCTTAACCATTTTTAAACTCCGTAGAAAAAAAAAGACATTTCTCACCATCCCTCACCCTCTGTACCCATTTCTATTGCACTCATAAACAATAATATACTCCTACGACCCTCGGCTAAGTTTTTGCGCTCAGTGTGGTCCTTAAATAATGCTGTGTCGCACGGGTGGGCCCAGATGGGCTAACTTTAGAAATAGAGGTATGATGATGTATAATTTGGCCCAATCTGTTTCTGATAGATGAATAAGATATTTCTGGAAGTGTATGGCCAAGATGAGTTCATAAAAGGTGAGATTTCTAAAAAAAAAAATTGAGTGTTTGTGGGTGGGATTGTCTTTATTTCGGCATTGCCGTCCCGATGTACAAAAATCGAATGATTGACACGAAGGAGGAAGGTTTTGAAAATTCTGAAAGGTTTTAAGCAATACACCTTTGATTGTGGTAACTTATGTTGTATGGATCTTAACCATTTTTTAAAATTTATCTAATGAATTAGAGCAAGAAAATGGCTGCATTTTGAGAAAAATCGGACCAATTTTCGCCCAATTTTGGGTGAAAATCAGCCAAGATAATATTTGATTCTATTTTGATGGTATTCACAAGTTAATATCCTGTCTGTAACCCCAAAATAGTAATATTACAAGCATTTACATCTATTTGAAGTCTAAATTTTAATTCTAGCATACACACAAAATTTACGGTCTCTGAAATAAAATTTGACCCTGCATTAAAGAAAGAAGGGCCAAGGGTCACACGGCAAACCGAAAAGATTCTAAATGGGCTTAGCTTGAATTTTACAAAAAGTATATACTTTGGTATGTGAATCTCAGCCATTTTTGATATATTTGCTAAAAATAGTGCAATTTCAGAGAAAAAGCAGACATATTCTCAACAAATTTTGTAGCAATTCTGATTTTACTTTCTCAAAATCTGAAGGAATTCATCATGAGTAGATGTTTTTTCCAATCAGAATTCAATTATATGGTATTCAATGTTAGAAAAATGGTATTTTACCCAATCAGGATCACCCATCGAGAAACGGTGTTTCAAGGATATGTCCGTTGAGCTTTATAACAAATGCACATCCAACGTTCTTAGGTACTGGGCTTCGGTGATCGTACGAGAACCGGTATTTCAACGTGATATGGCCGTTAGCACTTTATACCAAATGCACATCCAATCACCTGCTATTCCCAAGCGGTCACCCATCTAGGTACTGGGCAGGCTCGACGTTGCTTAACTTCGGTGATCGTGCGAGAAACGGTGTTTCAACGTGATATGTCCGTTAGCACTTTATAACAAATGCACATCCAATCACCTGCTATTCCCAAGCGGTCACCCATCTAGGTACTGGGCAGGCTCGACGTTGCTTAACTTCGGTGATCGTACGAGAACCGGTGTTTCAACGTGATATGGCCGTTAGCACTTTATACCAAATGCACATCCAATCACCTGCTATTCCCAAGCGGTCACCCATCTAGGTACTGGGCAGGCTCGACGTTGCTTAACTTCGGTGATCGTACGAGAACCGGGTGCACTTTTACCAAAACATCCAATCACCTGCTAATCCCAAGCGGTCACCCATAGGTACTGGGCGTTCGACATTGCTTAACTTCGGTGATCGTACGAGAACCGGTGTTTTTATATCCAAATGCGGTCACCCATCATCCAATCAACGATATGGCCGTTAGCACTTTAACCAAATCATCCAATCCCCTGCTAATCCCAAGCGGTCACCCATCTAGGTACTGGGCCGGCTCGACGTTGCTTAACCTCGGTGATCGTACGAGAACCGGCGTTTCAACGTGATATGGCCGTTAGCACTTGATACCAAATGCACATCCAATCCCCTGCTAATCCCAAGCGGTCAAACCGGTGTTTCAACGTGATATGGCGGTAAACCTTTTGTTTAGAAGAAGATGATGATGATGACAATGTGAGAATTTTCTCACCATCCGCTTCTCTGTAGATGCTTCTGCCTCACTCATGCTGAGTTATTAACTCTAAAAATATACTCCTGCAGCCTGCAGCTAATTTTCTGAAATCATGTTAGCCCTTCGCTGCTTTTAAATGTGCAAGTCTGGCCTAAGGTCATAGTTCGAATGTGAATTTGAAACATCGCGTCTGTAATTCGACGAATGCCCCACAAACAAAGCCACGAGTTTGGTAAAATTAATGAATATATACAGAAGCCAGAAAACAATTGAGACAAAGTTAGTGGTTAAGTAGGTTTGCTTTGCTTTGGTTTACGGCATATCAACCTCCATGGGTCATCTAATACCAACTAATTTCCTGGTATTTTTTTGCAGTGTCAAAAATCTATTTCTGGTAATATTTTTTTCTTTAAAACTTATTTCTGGTAATAATTTTTTACAAAGAATTTCTGGTATTAAAACTCATTTTTTTTCACACTTTCATAATGCTTTTTACCTCAGTTTCTGTTTGCCCATGGCTGGGACCCTAACAGGTGCTACCACTCCGGATCAGGGTGGACCTGGGAACATCAGCAATTAAGAGGTGGTTCCACGCCCCTCAAAACCTCCTGATCAGAGGCCTTGCTGTTGGACATAGTCTATCGTCTTACCCAGGACGCGGATGTAGCTTATCGTCTTAACCTGGACGTGGGCGTAGTTTATCGTCCTACCCAGGGACGGTTAGTGGTTAGTTGGTTGGTCGATAGCAAAGTAAATAGTGATGAAGATCTTTTTTATCGGCTGAGAATGACGATAATCTGGGACGGGGTCTGGTTGCGATTAAAAATGGCACGGTTGCTGAGCAAACGATTCAAATCAATTTAGATTCTTACAAGTAAAAACTAGAATTAGTCCAATAGGATTGATGAAACGATAAAAGATGAACGGGATTCAAAAAGACAGAAGATGGCGGTTGACGTTGCATTTCAATTTTTTAAGGATTGTAGTTTTCAGGGAAGCAAAGGAACCGAAGGGAGTAAGGAAATTGATACTTAGTGATTTCTGCCTGCATTAGCTTGTGCCACTAAAAGAAAAAAAAATGCAAAACAGTTTAGCACCCGTCTATATGTCTGAGATGAGGTATTATGTACATTATTCGGACTATTGTCCTCATCTCTGTAATAAATATGGCGACAAAAATGAGGACAATAGTCCGAATAATGTAACTAATCTTAGCAACCTTGGTGTAAAGAATGCATGTTCACGGGAGAAAGTTAATCAAAGAGGAGACCAGAACGTTGCTCGAGAGATTAAAAAAGGATAAGAAGAGAGAGAGAGAGAGAGAGAGAGAGAGAGAGAGAGAGAGGGGGGGCTATTAACAGAGAGATGATGATGATGATGATGATGATGATGAGCAGAGCGACAAGGAAGTGGGGGAAGAAAAAAAATCCTTGATGTATTTTTGAAAGATTCGGAAATAGCTGAAGAGGAAGGACCCTGAATGGTCGACGAGGATCATTTGTATGCAAATGCCAGGAGGAATCAACTAAAGAAGAAGAAGAAGAAGAAGAGGAAGAAGAAGAAGAGGAAGAAGAAGAAGAGGAAGAAGAAGAAGAAGTGGCAGAAGAAGAATAAGGTGAAAGGGTAGAAGAAGAAAAAGTAAAATAAAGCTGTTGAATTATTATTATTAGTAGTAGTAGCTGTAGAAGAAGAAGAAGAAGAAGAAGAAGAAGAAGAAGAAGAGCAAAGGAAGAAAGCAACAAAAGAAGAAGAAGAAAACTGTTGAAGAAGAATGAATAAAAGAATAAGATGACAAAAAAGAAAACCAACTTAAAAAGAAAAAAAGAAGAAAGCAACAGGAGAAGAAGAAGAAAAAGAAGTTGCCGAAGAACAAAGCGGTTAAAGTAGTAGAAAGAAGGAAAGAAGAAGAAACCTATTGAAAAAGGAAGAAAAGAAGGAAGGAGCTGGAGACGAAAAAGAAGAATTCGACGGAAGAAGAAAAAGAAGAAAGCAGTTGAAGTTGTAATAGAATTAGAAGAAGAAGGAGAAGAAGAAGGAGAAGAAGAAGAAGAAGAAGAAAGGGATTAAAGAAGATGGAATAAAAAAAGAAAGTGATCGAAGAAGAAAATAAAGTGGCTGAAGAAGAAGAATAAGAATAATAAGCAAATGACTGAAGAAAGAAGAAAAGAAGGAGAAAGTAGTAGTAGTAGTAGTAGTAATAGTATTAGAAGAAGAAGAAGAAAAAGAAGAAGAAGAAGAAGAAGAAAACGATTGAAGGAGTAAAAGAAGAAAGCGATTTAAGTAGAAGAAAAAAGGAGGAGAAAGTAGTAGTAGTATTAGAAGAAGAAGAAGACGAAGTAGAAAACGAATGAAAAATGGCGATAACAAGCAGTACTACTACTACTACTACTACTACTACTAGAAGAAGAGGGAGAAGAAGAAGAAGAAGAAGAAAACGAATGATGAAGAAGGAAAAAAACAAGGAGAAAGTACTAGTAGTTGAAAAAGTAGAAGAAAAAGAATGAAGAAGAAAGCAGCTGAGGAAGAAGAAGAAAAAGAGGAAGAATAAAATGAATAAGAAAACGATTGAAAAAGAAGGAAGAAAAGAAGGAAAATATTATTATTATTAGTAGTAGTAGTAGTAGTAGTAGCATTAGGAGGAGCCATATTTTTCTTCAATTCCAGTAACTGTTCTTGATTTCCAAACACGAAACTTTAATCCACTCGGACTCGATCGACCAAAACCAAAATCTAAACCCAAACAAAGAGCCAGATAATCTTTTTCTTTTCCAGTGTCCTCATCCGCCATTTTGATTTTAGCTTTCCCGCCTTTCTGAGTTACATCGTTCAGGCCGACATTTCTTTTTATTTATTTCTAGTTTTATCTTTATTTTTTTTTTTGGTCGGGATTTTTTTACTTAGTGCATTTTTTGAAGAAGTTATTTTCATGCCTACTGGGATGACGGCTTTTTTTTTTTTTTTTTTTTTTTGACAGAAATAATACAAACAGGAAAAACAAAAACTGAATTGCAGCAAGAATGAATAAATGAATGTAAAAAGAAAAAAAAGATTAATAAGACAGAAGAAACATTGAAATAACAAAAAGAAAGGAAATGTATGAATGAGAAAATTAAGAATAAAGAAAAAAAAAAAAAATACCAGAAGGACGAATATAAAGGAAAGGTCTGTTTTTGGCGGTATTTTCTACGAGTAAATCTGGAATATAAAATTAATAAATAAATAAAAGAAAAAGAACAACAATGTAAACGAATGACATTAAACATATAATAAAATGGAGGAGAAGACTTAAAAAAAGAATTTATAAAAGAAAAATGTGGACATAAAGAAAAATATTAATTGAAATGATCTGATCTTTGTTGTTAATTTTCCAACGTTTCGGTCGTGGTCTCTCCGGACTTCATCAGGAGTCTGTCAATCCGGGTGACCTTTAGAAAACTCCTTATTTAAATTTTTAGGTAAATTGTTCCGCTATCCATATTCAAGGATACCTTTTAATAATTCCCCTCCCCCCACTAACCAAGACGATTAAGCCACTAAGACGCAAAGGTTTACTGAGTGTGAAGGAAACTGAGAAAAGGTTAATGAGTAGGAAGAACAATAAAAGAAAAAAATATTCAAAGCGATAGAAGATGAGGATTTAAACTTTTGAAGATTGTAGTTTACAGGAAAGCAAGAAGCCAGAAAAGAGTTCCACAGGCGAGAAGTGCAAGAAAAGAAACTATTTGAATGGAACTTACGGTTGCAACTAGCTAGTTTATTTACGATAAGACCTAACTTCCAATCTAGTATTACGTTTAATTTTTTTGAAGTCGATGTACCTAAGAGGAAAACTCAACAGAACAATTGCTACCGAAATATTTATAGAACACGCCTAGGTGGGAAATTGGGTGAAGTCGAGATGCCAGGTTAGAAATGATAACATTGCTGATTCATTTTTGGATCTTTGTTGTTGTCATCACAACGTTTCGGCCGTTGTGCACTCCGACCTTCCTCAAGTGTATATTGATATACATGAAATTTTGAACTGAAAACTTTATTTAATAAACTGTTCTCGTTCCACTCTGACATGTCTTATCTAGTACTTACTTGATTTAGTACAGTTCAGATATTGCTAGTCAGTTTACACTGAGTCGAACTGACCGACCCAGGGATTGAACTCACAACCACTATATCACCAAATCCACGAAGTACCACTTTAGATATATAGGACAAGCACAGATCAGGTGTGGCAGCAATATTCAGTAATTCAGCTAGAAAAAGAACAGGTTAAAATCGTTTTGTGTCAGATTCACTGTCTTCCCAATTTAGCAATGGTGAGAGGAAAAAGATCATTCAGGCCTTCAGTAATGGCACGAACAATAGCGTCCATCTTAAAAGTCTATTCAAGAACCATCAAAAGAACGGTAAATAAGTTTTACAAAGAAGGAAACGTAGAGAGAAAAACTGGATCAGGAGGTCACAACAGCAAGAAGAGATCAATTAGAAAAGATCCAACTCAATCCATAAGATGTTTGGTACGTGAGAGAGGAGTTTCAGCTATGACAGTTCAAATATCAATGAAAAAAAGTCTTGAAAATGAAATCGTACCTGAAACCTATGAGGCACTTTGTTACTCAAGGACAGAAGGTTAGAAGCTGAGAGAGCTCAATGTATTTATTACAGAGCATATATAAACAAATTACATATAATGAAACTCGAAAAGACCTTTTTTGTATGGCTATTTCGCCTCGCAAGAAATTAATCTTCTGAGGTTTATCAACACCAAAGGGTTTGAAGATAAAATAAAAAGGAAGCTTAAAAATGTTTAAACTTTAAAGAAACAGAAAGGAAGAAAAGTCAACATATAATTCCTGTTTTCTAGCGGACTCAATATGTTGAACCTGCG